GGGCCGAAAGTCCTCCCGCGCCAAAGGCCGGGGCAAAGGCCGCGCCAAAGGCCGCGCGCGCGCCGCTCCCGACCACGCCCCGCGCGCCCCGGACCCTCCGGACCCTCCGCAGGGCCAGCGGCTCGGGGAGGAGCCCCCGGCGGCACAGGTGCAGGCAGGCGCGGGGTGGGGCGGCCTGGAAAGCGCCGCGCTCCAGCTCCCGGGGCCGGGGGAGGACGCCTCCCAGCTCCCGCTGGACTGCGGCCTCGCGCTGCGCGCGGCGGGGGAGCGCGGGCAGGCTGCGTCCAGGCTCGGCCTGGGGAAGGCCACGTCCCTCTCGGAGCGCCTGGCGCCGGACACTGTCTTCGTCGGAACCGTGCGAAACCGGGGAGAGGCTGAAAAACGGCCCCCGCGTTCGAATCTGCGTGGGCTCGCTGGGAAGAAGGCCCCAGGGGGGAAGCCCAAGAGGGACCCCGCTGGGGAGGATGCGTCTGTCCCAGAGGAAGAGGAACAGAAGGCGGAGAAGGATGCAGGGGCAGGGACCCCGGCGACGGACGGCAGCATGGATACGCTGGAGACGGTCCAGCAGAAGCTGGAGACCATGAACGCCCAGGCCGACAGGGCCTACCTTCGCCTCTCGCGCAAGTTTGGGCAGTTGCGGCTGCACCACTTAGAGCGCAGGAACCTGCTCATCCAGAGCGTCCCGGGCTTCTGGGGGCAGGCTTTGCAGAACCACCCCCAGCTCTCATCCTTCCTGAACAGCAAAGATAAAGAAGTGCTCAGCTACTTGAACAGCCTGGAGGTGGAAGAGCTCGGCCTCGCCAGGCTGGGCTACAAAATCAAGTTCTACTTCGAGCGCAACCCCTATTTCCAAAACAAGGTGCTCATCAAGGAATATGGGTGTGGCCCTTCAGGCCAGGTGGTGTCTCGTTCGACTCCAATCCAGTGGCTCCCGGGACACGATCTCCAGTCCCTAAGCCAGGGGAGCCCAGACAACAGCCCTAGCTTCTTCGGGTGGTTTTCAAACCACACCTCTATTGAGTCCGACAAGATTGTTGAGATTATCAATGAGGAGCTGTGGCCCAACCCCCTGCAGTACTACCTTATGAGTGAAGGGGCCCGTGGCGAGAAAGGAAAGGAGGGCAGGCAAGGCGCCGCGAAGCAGCCGGTGGAGACCCCCGAGCCTGGGGCCAAGAAACCCAAGTAATCTGCACAAGTCTCCCTACTACCTCCTGCTGGACCACAGGTGTGGGGCTGTCTGCCTTCTCTCCGTGTCGGCCTCTGTGCACTCTTTTCCCTTGGAACTCCAGTGACAAGAATATGGCACTGACGATCGTGTTCTTTTGCCTCCCCGTGGCCTTGCTTTTTTTACGTTAGTGTCACAGGTTATATGATCTCACGCCTGTTTTTTATCTGTGAGGCACACATGCTTCAGACGTGTGCTGCCTTTATCTATGTGCCTGCACCCTGTTCTTGGCTCTGGCCTTTCCTGCCCGTCTTTAACATGGACATTCACGAGGCATTCTCCACGAGGACCAAGGCACCCTTAAGCTCTGCTCCTTCAGAGCCTTTGACTGTAGCGGGCTTTGTATTCGTGGTGGCCATGCATACCATAGATGGCAAGATGGCTACTACGAAAGGAAGCTAGTGCACACGGTACTGGCCATCAGCCAGAACTGATTGTTCAATGGCCCAGAGTCACTGGCCCAGGCACCACCCACAGGATCTCTGGCTTTGGACAAGGGTCCATGCTATCCTGCAGGATGTGCAGCACACTGGCCCTTGACTGCTGGGCACGGATGAGGTTAAGGGTGAGAAGCAGTATGGCATGTGTTCTATTCCAGCGTGTGTCTCCTCCTGCCCCTGGGCCCTTCCCCTGGTGAACGTTCATCAAGCTCTGCGCCGCGCCTCATTCGTGGCAGGCCATTGAATTTTGTCTAGGTTGTTATCGGCCCCGATTGGCTTCCCATTCAACAAGGACCTCAAGAACTCCCTGTGGACGCAGCCCCCCTGCCAGTGCCTGAGACACACACCTACCTTCCAAGGCTGGGGCCTTCCAAGAACCCTGTTTGGCTGTCAGACTGATGGGTGGGCTGGTATGTGTGGACACATGCTCGCTGCCATTATGCTGTGGCTCCAAATGAGGGTGGGGACTAGACTCATAGAATCTAGGTACCTTTTTCAACTCTATGTAACATTCAGTGTATCACATGTGACCAGAATGCTATAGTGGGATTGCTGGGGAAAAGGTATTTCTGATATGTGAGCCTGTGTCTACTTCATTTCACACCTCCACATTTTCTTACTTGCTTTCCCTTCTTTGCCACTACCTTTGACTACCCATAGACATAGGCTTCAGTCTCCAGTATAGGGGAATCCCAAGACTCTCTCTTGGGGTATGGAGACAGGGGTGGGCAGAGTCTGTCCTGGGCCTCCAAGACTGATTTCCACTGGGTGTAAAAGCTGAGTTGGGCCCTCCATGCCCAGGCGTCTGTGTTCTCTTCCCCGCTCTCGTCCTTAAGGGTGGGGAAATAGGACTGTGTCTATACTTGCCCTCCCCCTCACTTCCCTTTCCTTATGGAAGACCGCATTCTGAGTTCTCTGAGGGCTGTGGAGGCAGAGTTGTAGAGAGGGTATGCTAGGCAGGGGAGCTGGAGCAAAAATACAGTAAAGGAATGAGTCTTGTATGGAATGGGCCTGGAAAAGTAGGTCGAAATGGCTTAAGAAAGCTCAGGGAGAATATGCCTACCTCTCAGGATGGAGGGACTTTCCCAAGGGTGGGGATGGTAGGATTAAAGCGATTGCTGGCAAATACATGGTAACAGGATGCATCCACTCAAGGGGAGGATATGCCCAAAGTTTTATCCAGTCTTTATTTCAACATGAGTACATTTTGTAAGAGGAAAACAAAAACAGAAAGATGTTACTTTGGATGCTTTCTTTTTTGTTCTAGGTGTAGCCTCATGTACGTGGAAGGTTAATGCTATATGCTGCTTATTTTGCCTCAAAGTAAAATCTCACCATGGTCCTCATTTTTGCCTAATGGGAAAATAGAGCCGTATAGGTCTGCTTTTTATTTCTTTTAAACTTTCTGCTCTTTATTATGGACATTTTCAGACATGCACAGAAGTTAAGAAGGTGGTCCATGGACCCTCTGCACCTATCACCTAGCTACATTAATTATTAACTTATGACCAATCTGTTTTCATCTGTGTCTCCCTCTTCCTGCCTGTATTGTTTATCAGAAGTCCAAGACACTGTGCAATTCAACTGTGACTACTTTGGGAGGTTGGGAGGGAGTTGGTGGTGATAGTGGTGGGGTACACATCAGGCCTGCTTTTTGCTCTTAATGTTTACTAATGAAGTTCCAGAGATAGGCCTTAGAATTGCAGGTCTTCAGAATTAACAAGAAATCTCAAAAAGAGATGAAGGGGATGCTCCCTTTCCCCTGCATCCACAAAAGGAGAGAGGGACTGTTCTGTTCAAACTCTTTCAGAAATTGATAGGATGTGGTGCTTACTTGACACCTGTCACCAGAATATTAGTCTTTCTTTCCTGTGTAAGACGGAGACTCGTGTAACTGTTAGAATTGTTATCATCTTGACCTGGTCTCATAACTCCAGTCTTGGAAGTATAATTTGGAAACTGTTGCTGTGTTCTGTGAAAATAACCTCCCAACAGCAATCAGTAACTGGCTGTCTTACTTGCTAATTTGACACCCTGGTAATAATGCAATTATTTCTTTGTTCCTAGACAGTATAAATAGTTATAAACTTGCATGCATGATGGAAAAATAAAAACCTATATCTCTGTTATATTTTTTATTTTCAAAAATGACTCAGAGGCTGGGTAGTTGAGGGGACATATACATTGGCCTAGACCAGGGGTGGGCAAACTTTTTGACTCGAGGGCCACAATGGGTTCTTAAACTGGACCGGAGGCCGGAACAAAAGCATGGATGGAGTGTTTGTGTGAACTAACATAAATTCAAAGTAAACATCATTACATAAAAGGGTACCGTCTTTTTTTTTTTTTTTTTTTTTTTTTTTAGTTTTATTCATTTCAAACGGGCCGGATCTGGCCCGCGGGCCATAGTTTGCCCACGGCTGGCCTAGACGAATGATTCCCAAGCCTCAGGTCCTTGTGTGACCTCTATAAGAATATATAAAATTTTAATTCTCATGCTCTTATCAGAGATTGAGATTCTGTGATTCTGGCAAGGAGCCAGGTAGTCTTGTTTTCCACAAGCTTTCTGGGCGATTCTAGTGGAAATCTAGTGCTTCTCAGATTTTTAGTTCATCTGAATTGTGTGGGGAATTCTATTAAAATACTGAATTTTGATTCAGTAGTCTAGATTGGAACCTGAGATTCTGCATTTCTAACAAACTTCCAGGTGATGCCAGTGCTGATAGTTTGTGAACTATGTGGGAAAGAAAGTGACCTTCAAGGCCCTTTCAGACTAGAATAACAGTGCTCAACCTTGGTTGCACATTAGAATTATCTGGGAAGCTTAAAGAACTATACTGCCAGAGTTCCACCAAATACCAACTAAATCAGAATTGGGGGCTGGGGAGGGAGGGTTGGTCCAGGTACAGGAATTTTTAAAACATGTCTAGCTAGAGTTGAGAAGGATGCTGTTCATAACAGATCCATCACAAAGATAATTTTCCTTTAATCAGGAGCAGCAGCATCAGATAACCAAATGCCACATAAAGCTGTCCTGCAGAAAATGGTTGGAAAAATTAGAAGTGGGTTGTTAAATGAGAAGAGAATACAATTGGGTTGTATGATGAAGAACTTGAATCAACAAATGTGCAGTGTTCAGGCCATAGTAGGGGCTCAAATGTTGAATGAATACACGAATTTAAGCATTTTAGATTCTGATGCCTCAGGGCGAGGCTGGTAATTTGTGAAGTGGGCCAAATGTGTTTTAGTTTGTACCACAGGATGGGTAGCTTAACAATAGAAATGTATTTCCTTAGTTTTGGAGGCCGGAAGTCTGAGATCCAATTCAGTTATTTCACTGTGGGTTACAAAAACAGTGATTTTCTAATCTTGGCATTTCTTTTATATATTTTAGCTGGTATTCTCCTATAAAAAAGACCTCACCCTCATCATCTGGCCATGAACTATACTTCCTTCTGAAGAGGTAGTATAAATGCTTAGCTTGTCTCTCTAATTACCAATTGTCAGCATCAGAAGTTGGTGGAATAATCACCACTAATGGTCTCCAATAAGGACATGTTTTTCTTCTTGTCGGTTTGCTATCACTCTGGGCTTGTGAGTTTTGTTTATTTAATGTTTTACAATCAATTACAGTCATCTTTCTTTTGTCTGTTCAGTTGACCTACATTTTGCTGCTAAGTAACTTTTACCAGGCTCCTCTAGTCCTTGTCCCTGATTTCCCCCCACTGCCCCCATGTGCTGCAATCCAATCAGTGGGAGCCATTGCTGAGTCTCCAGCCAACCTCTGAGCTCCTCAGACCCCACACATTTGCATGAGCTGTTCACCTATTGAGAAAACCCTTGCAGCCCCTTTCAGGTGCTCAGATACAGCTAGGATACCATTGTTCTGTGCCATACTTATTAAGCTGTCAAGGCTCGCTGAGTCCCTCCCTTCTTTTTATTTCCATAATATTTTGTCCACATGTCAATTCATAGTACCTAACGTAGTGACTTGTTCTTGTCTGTTTACCTGTGTGCTCCTACCAGAGACTATGAGATCCTTGCGGCTGCAGAATAATAACAAGCAATATGTCAGTCATTTTTGTATTTCCATAGCTCAGGGGCTTACACATAATAGGTGCTCATTAAGCACCAAACAAGTGTGCAAATGAATGATCTCTAAAGATTCATGAAGCCATTGGTGACAAGCTACCGAGAGGTCAGAAGTGTCCAGGAGTAGAGACTGGAAATAATTTCAAGTGCAGTAGAACCACGAGCAAGTGGACTAAAGGATGGTGGGGAGGGAAGCTATTACCTGCACAAAGCTTCGGGCAAAAACACTTAGTGGCACCAAATTACTCCGGCAACATACTGGGAATCAAGTAGAAAAATGGAAGTGAGCAAGAAAGCACATGAAGAACGTTGAAAATGTACCATGTATGCTGTGCTCTAGCAACATTCCACAGCACACGGGTCTGTCATCAAACACAAGAAACAGAGAGCTGCTGGGATTCTGGCAATGACCTCACCTGGGATCTTTCTCACTTTAAATATGGACTATATACGTAGTCTGAGATCTCCTAAGCGGCCACTTGCATTTAAACTTCAAAATACTGGGTTATTTCTTCATTGAATCATGCAGGTTTCAAGTGTACAACTCAATAAAACATAATCTGCACACTGCATCGTGTGCCCATCTCCCCCAGCAGTCTCTTTCCATCCCCATTTTCCCCCTCTTTGCCCACCTCCACCTAGCCCCCCCCCTTTCCTTCTGGATATCACAATATTTGCTTAATCCCTTCACCTTTCATCTAGTACCCCCTCCCCCCTCCCCTCTAACAGCTGTCAGTCTGTTCCACATATCCCTGCCTCTGTTTCTATTTTGTTCATCACAGCTAGAACAAAGGCAATCCTTAAAACAGCGACATCACCGAGAGTAAGCTGGACAAGAGAGTAAACCTACAGAATGGAACACAGTGAGTGGATCTAGGAGAAAGTTACCTTGAGCTTCAATATTAAATAGCCTATATTCCAGGATAATGGGAAAATATGGTCATTAAAGCCCAGTGCTACTTTGCCTAGTGCTATGTCACCAGATACTTGATGAGAAAATGTAGAATGTGTAGGGGGAGAAAGGTGAAAGACAGGCCTTTGAAACCCTGTAACATTCTGGAGAAGGTTATGATCACAGAACAGATTGTCCCTCAGGAAGTGAGGAGGTAAGGCCTGGTGTACTATTGTGAGAGCTCTTTATCTTCCACCCTGAGAACCCATCCTGCCATCAGTGCCACCCCTGGCTAGGGGAGCATTTATGTGCAGGAGATGGAGCTCCTACACATTACATGTCTTTCTCTTAGCGGTCTTATCTGATTCGCTGATAAAATGGTACTCCCATCCTCACTGCTCACTCTGTATTCCTTCTCACAGCTCCCCCCTTCTTCCTAGAACTTATCACAATTCATGACTAGGGTTTTGTCTCTGAGCTTGTTTCTTCCTCTGGACTATAAGCTCTTAAGGATCTTTGTTCACTGTTGAATCCCAAGTGCATACACAGAGGGAGTATTTGATTGATAATTTGGACTGCTGGAAGTATTAGCCTTATGAACTATGGCCTGTTAAGATGGCAGGTAGCATGGCCCTACCTTGGAGATGTCCTGTGGCAGCAGGAGCTGTGTGTTCCTACGTATGCATTGGAACTTGGAGAGACACATACCAAGCAAAGTGCTAAGCACATTTTACTACATCGTCACAACAATAATCCTATTGTTATCCTCATTTTCCAGATAAGATAAAAGAACACAAGAGCATTTCAGAAACTTGTTTAGTTACATAAGTTGTAATTCCTAGAGCTGGGGTTAGAGACTCTTCACCACTGTTCTGCCCTGTCTCTCAGGC